CAGTATTTGCGCAGTTGGACCGAGTGGAGGGAAGTCTTGTGTCGAAGGGGACCAGCTGAACTGTGACTTAAAGCGTTCTGCCCAACGTTCTAGACGACGTTCCTGAATTTGAGTCAGGTTGCTGTCAGACTCCTTAATTACCTTACTTTTCCAGGCCATATACTCTTAATTAAACGAAAAAGGTTGCGACTGTTACCGATAGCTGTAGCCTTCTCCATCTCTCTACACTTCCCTACCCACCACTTGTCGCGGTCATTCNGGTCATTCCTCATGACTGTGGATAAGCTGGCGTTTAAGGGTTGCGCGCGCTTTGTCGTATGTGGCATCAGACGGGCTGCCTTTCCGAGCGTCCAGCAAGGCAACCGAATTCGGGGAGATCCATCGTTTCGTATTTGATCGTGAGCCAGAATCTGCCGTTGGTTTTGACGCTTCCTTGATTGTCGTTCAATTCCTTGCAATTGTGAGCTCTGATGCGATCCCACTGTGCTTCGACTGCAGGAGAAGATCTTGGCTCTTCTCATCGTGTTTCTCGGTAATATCAGTAATCTCTAGTCAACAGAGGGTCATCGCCTGAACCTGAAGACTTGGAGAACGTGAGAGTTGTACTTTATGAATGATAGAAAATAACATATTCGTTATAAAGGAAAAAGGGAACTAACAAGATATAAGCCTAACTTTCACATGAGGCTCTCAGGTCTGCCTATGGTTTACCTTGCACAGATCACTGCAAATAAGGGAATACAATCAGCCAGGTGTGGNGCTTCTGCTGGTTTATTCCAGCTGTTCACTACACGGTTTGTTTGAAACTGCTCGAACTTGGAACGCCTGGAACGCTCTTTTGCCAATTTCAAAGAGTGCCCACATAATGCTACGTTGTTATTGGCAGGGAACAGTGGAGCACCCGTAACATTTATGCCTTTTATACTCTTAAAGGCTTCAATCAGATCAGCGCTTAGGTGTCTCCTTTTGAGGGAGAATGGGTTCAGTATAGAGAGACGAGTTGGGTAGCCTTTCCCCCTGAGGTAGGGAAAGCACCTTGTGAACCTACGTTGGAACACGTCTAGGACCTTCTTGTCCCGCTCCAGGCATGGTGACCACGCTTGGTTGCAGTATTCCAGCTTTGGTCTAACATACACTTTAAATAGGGGTAACAACACCTCTGGATCCCGCAGCTGGTACAGAGTTTTGTGCACCTTACGTGCCACCAGTAGGTACTGCTTCTCTGATCTGACATTCCCCGTGACCTGAATTCACAGATCCCTCATTTCGTCACTCCTTTGGAGTTCTGCTGGGTTATCAGTGTCTATCCACCTTACCCGGTCTGTGATTTCAGTCTGCATAAGCTGTCTAAGCAGTCCAGCGTATGAAGGTATCCAAATTCGTCTGCATGGGCTGGTTTGAGGGGGACCCCACCAGTTTCAGGTTATCAGCAAACATGAATACTGGTTTCTCTAACCTCGTCGGCAAGTCATTCAC